AGCCAGAAAACTAGGATAAGCCTGGAATTGGATTGCGTCTCAGCATACCTTCCAGGAAAGAAACAAAATGGGGCAATTTGGAGCAGTGCTCTGTTCTGGCACCACTAAATCGATGCTTAAGGTTTGAAAACTAGAAGTCAATGTTATTGGAAAGCAAGTTGACGGTAGCCTGGCTGTGTGTAACGATGAGCTAGTTCCCTTCCTCTGTTACTGCGGTGTCTTGTAATGTTCGCTCTGCGCTGTGGCAATCGGAATACACGGACTCTACTCTTCTCTGCCACTGACCTACTATGCGACTTTAAATCAGGCCTTCCCCTGCCTCGGTTTCCCCTTCCTCTCTTTCTTTGCCTTGGCTACTAGGACTTGACACTCCTCCCAAGAGGAGCTATTTAAAGGTATTTGGGAGCCTAGCGAGATTTACAAAGGTATCCACCACCCCTTGAAAGCAATGTATCTTAGGGTCCCGACTGCCGCTGAAAATCTCACTAGGTTTCTAAGTACCTTTGTAACTGGGGTCTCATGTCTTTATCCATTTACGGCATGTACACCAAGCCAGGAGTGACTTCCCATTGACCCTTGACTGGGATCAAGATCATCGAATCACAGAATGCTACAACTGGAAGGGGCCTCAAGGGGTCATGTAATCCAGTCTTCTGCCCTTGTAGCAGGACCAAGCACCTTCTAAACCATCCCTGACAGGTGTCTGTCCAACATGCTCTTAAATATCTTCAGTGATGGAGATTCCACAACCTCCCTGGGAAATTTATTCCCGTGTTTAACCACCCTGCCAGGGAAATTTCCTAATATCCAACCTAAACCTCCCTTGCTGCAGTTTAAGCCCATTGCTTCTTATTCTATCCTCATTGGACAAGGAGAACAATTTTCTCCCTTCTTCTTATGACACCCTTTTAGAGAACTGAAAACCGCTCTCATGTCCCCTCTCTCCTTTCCAAACTGAACCAGCCCGATTCCTTCGGCCTCCCTCCTAGCTCCTGTTCTCTGGCCTTTCCTCATTCTCGTTGCTCTTCCCTGGACCCTCTCCAGTTTCTCCCCATCTTTCTGGAAATGTGGGGCCCAGAACCGGACCCAGCGCTCCAGCTGAGGCCCAACCGGCGCAGAGCAGAGCCAGAGCCCCTGCCTGGCAGAGCAGCGCCCCCCCCCCACTGGTCCCACTTTTTTTTGCAACAGCGTCACACTGTTGACTCATATTTAGCTTGTGGTCAACTCTGACCCCTAGATCTCTTTCTGCAGGACTCCTTCCTAGACAGTCACTTCCCATTCTGTGTGTGTGAAACAGATTGTTCCTCCCTAATTTGCACTTTGCATTTGTCCTGATTCAACTTCATCCTATTTACCTTTGACCATTTCTCCAATTTGTCCAGATCATTTTGAATTATGACTTTACCCTCCAAAGCACTTATGACCCTATCCTCCAAAGCAATGTCAACTCCTCCCAGCTCGGTATCATCTGCACACTTAATAAGCGTCCTCTCTCTGTGCCATCATCTATATTGTTGAAGATACTTGATGCTTGGTCCTGCCATGAGGGGAGGGGGCTGAACTAGATGACCTGTCATGGTCCCTTCCCAGTCTAGTGTTGTATGCTTCTATATTTCTTAGCAACCAACTTCACACCCAGAGCATCCTGATCTGTGAGTTTCTCTGGTGGCGGCATCCCAAGAGCTGTGGATACAACACAAGAGAAAAAAAAAGATCTCTACTCCCCCAGAGGTAATCACGTGGAGTTAATGAAGGACCAGGCTCGTCCAGGCCAGCTGAGGGTTTGGCGCCACTCAGATTTTCCCCATCGCGGATCACATGTTCATGCTCTAACTATATATTTTATCCTCTGAACACCCTGGGAAACCTCTTCTGCACCAGCCTCCCCTATTCAGCCGATGGTCCTTGCGAGGATGCAGCGTGAGACCCAGGGCACGTCATGTCGGGGAGGGCAGGGTGATGGGACGGTTTGCTCCAGAGGTGGGATCTGAGCTGGGGTCCGAGCCTCGGAGACCAGAGTTTCTTATTTAACCCTGGAGCTAGGACATTGGAAGCCTGCATGAGCCGGGATGTTCGTTATAGGTTGGAGGAGCATCCTTCCCTGCTCCCATTTTGTCCTTCAGTACTCATAGAATCCTAGAGCTGGAAGGGCCCTCAGGAGGTCATCAAGTCCAGCCCCCTACCCAAGAAGGGAATTAGGGAAGGTGCATTCGTGGAGTGGAACGCTCTCTGCTGGGAACTGCAAAGACCCAACAAGTCCAGGGAAGCAGCTGGTGGATAATGCAGAGATGAGGCCATGACGGATTGATCGGGACCAGCCAGCGATCGCTACCGCAAGAGGATCAAACGCATTGTGAATGGGGCAAAATTCCACAGATCCCAACACAGTAAGCTTGCTCTTTCAACTGCATATATTTGCATATTAAAAGACAGTCCAACGTGAAGACCATACAATGAACGAGGTATGGACTTGTTTAAGACTTTGGCTGTCTGTTACGTTACATCTCTAGCGCCTTTTACCAACATTTTTATCGTGAAAAGAAAAAAAGACCAAATCCTGTATTTTTTTGTGTGTTTTGGCTACTGTGAAATAACCCTATTCAGGTAAAATTGGACGACGACAGAAAATATTCAGCCTCGTTCTATTCCCGTGAATAGGATCTCTGTTTTCCTCCGTACATAAATGCGATGATGATGAGGGGAAAAAAATCTGTTTAATTTAAAATTGGAAGCTGAGGGAATTACAGCTTATTTAGTCTACAGAAAAGAAGAGTGAGACAAAATCAGGGAAGTAAATTGGATATTAACCGAACATTGGAAAAAGTTCAGAAAAGGGCAACAAGAATTATTAGGGGTTTAGAAGGGATGCCATATGAGGACAGATTAATAAGAGTGGGAGTTTTTAGCTTAGAAAAGAGGAGACTAAGGGGGGATATGAGAGAGGTCTATAAAATCATGACCGGTATGGAGAATGTAGAGAACGAAAAATTGTTTACATGCTCCCGTATCACAAAAACTGAGGGGATTACCAAATGAAATCAATAGGTAGCAGATTTAAAACAAACCAAAGGAAGTTGTTTCTTCACACAGCACACAGTTAACCTGTGGAACTCCTTTCCAGAGGATGTTGTGAAGACCAGGACTTTAACAGGGTTCAAAAATGAGCTAGATGAATTAATGGAGGACAGGTTCATTGTAGGCAGGGATGGTGTCTCCAGCCTCTCTTTGTCAGAGGCTGGAAATGGATGACAGGGGAGGGATCACTGGATGATTGCCTTTTCTGTTCACTCCCTCTGGGGCACTGGGGATTGGACACTGTTGGCAGACAGGACACTGCGCTAGATGGACCTTTGGTCTGACCCAGTCTGGCTGTTATGTTCTTAATGCTACAGGCCCATCACTGCGTAGAGATGTGATGCAGATGCAATTTATATAGAGAGTCTGGGGAGAAATTGTTACAGATAAACACTTGCTTTAGACCGGGGTGGGGAACCTGTGGCCCGGGAGCTGAATCTGGGAGCACTAGCATTGAGGAGGCTGTGCTGGCACTTCATCCTCCTCGCCATCCTCCTGTGTGGCTGGAGCTCACAAAATCTACTCGCCTGGGCCTCCTAAGACTTTGGAGGTGGGAAGGGTGTTTCTCTTTCTTAGTCGGGGGCCATGGCAGTGAGCGCTTGGGTTTTGTTTTTGCAAGGTTTTTTATTTCTTTGTTTGTTTTGCTTCTCACTTTTGTACACCCCTCCAACCGATTTTTCTGTGGGTCAGTGGCCTACTTAAAATCAGGAATAAGGGATCTTCCGGAAAAGGCTTTATTTTCTGAAAGATCCCCATCTAGACTGGCGCTTTTCTCCAGCAAAGCCCCGAGCCGGAAAAAGCAGCAGCCATATTCATGCAAATGCCGTGGGGAAAATTTAAAACCCCGGGGCATTTGCAATTCGGATGTGTCTCATTAGCATCCCTTTTCCTGGGGCATTTGCAATTCGGAAGTGTCTCATTAGCATCCCTTTTCCGGAAAAGGATGCCAATGTAGACACAGCCTGGGGGTGTATCTAGACCATAGGGTTTTGGCAACAAAAGTGGACTTTTGTCGACCAAACTATACCTGTGTCTATACTGCCACTGAGTTCTGTCGACATAACGTTTTGTCGACGGCTGTAAACCTCATTCTATGAGGAATAACGCCTTTTGGCGACAGAGTTCTGTCAATAGAAGGCGTTATTGCATCTATACTGTCCTTTGCGTCTACAGTCTCATGTCGACAAACAAGCTTGCTTTGTCAACAGAACTAGCTGTAGTTTAGATGTTCTTTGTTGACAGAAGCTTTGTCGACAGTATCTGTCGACGAAACTTCTGTCTACAAAAGCCAGTAGTCTAGATGTACTCCTTGGTGAGTTATTTTTGTATTTCCCAGGAAATAGTAAACAGGCTATGATGAGGTGTCAGGATTTGATTGTCACCCTCAAGTTTTTTGTCTACTGTTTGACACAATGGAGAGACCGTCTTTGGTAGGTCTCTTGTGCTCGGGTTGTAAGCTGTTCCATTCTTTGGTGCTCTCAAGTTACATACAGGGCCAGATATTCTAATGCTGTAAAATGATGCAGTCAAATCCTTTGCTCCTTGGACATTCATGGCATGAGATATTATGAAGAGGGAAGTCGGGGTCACTCTTCTGTCTCTAATCCTGACCGTTGCTCTTCTCTTTCCTTCCCCAGCCTTCACACCATGAACTGAGGAAGAAAATTTCCAACCGAACCACTGTGACAGAGTTCCTTCTGCTTGAATTCTCTTATGTTCGGGAGTTGCAGATTCTGCACTTTGTGGTGTTTCTGGTGGTTTACCTGGCAGCTCTGGTGGGGAACCTTCTCATCATCACCACGGTGGCAATTGACCACCGTCTTCACACCCCCATGTACTTCTTCCTGGCAAATCTGTCCATCCTCGACCTCGGCTCCATCTCTGTCACCGTCCCCAAATCCATGGCCAACTCCCTCCTGGGCACCAGGTCGATTTCCTACTCTGGATGCATCGTCCAAGTCTTCCTCTTCATGTTCCTACTCCCAGCCGATCTTGCCTTACTCACCGTCATGGCCTATGACCGGTATGTGGCCATCTGCCACCCTCTACACTACGAGCGCGTGATGAACCGGAGAGCCTGCGTCCACATGGCTGCTGGCGCCTGGATGAGCTGTGTTGTCTACTCAGCCCTGCATACTGGGAACACGTTCACATTAACCTTTTGTGACAACAATGTGGTGGATCAGTTCTTCTGCGAAATCCCCCAGCTCCTGAAGCTCATCTGCTCCGGCTCCTACCTCAATGAAGTGGGGGTTATTGCATTTGGTGCCTGTGTAGCCTTCAGTTGCTTTGTTTTCATCATCGTGTCATATGTTCAGATCTTCAAAGCAGTGCTGAGAATGCCCTCGGAGCAGGGCCGGCACAAAGCCTTCTCCACCTGCCTCCCCCACCTCGCTGTGGTCTCATTGTTCCTTTGCACTACGTCCTTTGCCTACCTGAAACCCTCTTCCAAGTCAACCTCCATTCTGGATCTTGTGTCCGCTGTTCTCTATTCTGTGGTGCCACCGGTCATGAATCCGGTCATCTACAGCATGAGGAATAAAGAGATTAAAGACGCTTTGAGGAAGCTGATGTGGTGGAGGCTGTTCACCAAGAAGAAAAGGACCGTCTGTCTCCCTTGACTGCATTTCTTATTCTGTATTTCTTTGTAAATATAATCCATGGATTGCACCCATGTCCCCATCGCGGTCAGTTGCTTGATGCAGGGGTTCAAAGCGATCCCTACTCCACTGTGGTCACTGGCGGTGCCTAAAAAAAAATGGAATGTATCTATCTGAGGGATTTAGGTTGCATTTTGCATATAAAATGGAAGCCATGGGGATGCTCCTGGTGGACTTCATGGGAGTTTGTGACTCTCCCGTTTCGGGATAAAAATTCTGCTTGGAATCTGAGAGTTTTTGGTTGTTGCGTCATCGGTGTTTCTTGCTTTGTTTTATTGACTGGTTGGTTGATTTATGTCTTTGCTTCAAGGGTTTACCCCTGCAGAAGTAAGTTCACAATCTACCTTTCCAACTTACAGCTCTACAACAGGGCTACTCGACACGTGGCCCGTGGGCCGCATATTGCCTATGGACCATTTTTTTGCGGCCTGCAGTGAGGTTTGGGTTTACGCGGGGTTCAACACGCGGCCTGTGAGTGGAATCCTTTGAACATGGCCTCCACTGGGAACACTCTCCACAACAGCGAGGCATCTCCCAGGCGGGGAAAGCACTGAAAGACGCAGGTGGACGGGCTGGCTGGAGCTGAGGGATACAGGGTGTCGGCGTTTCTAGGCCCCAGGGAGGAGGAGCTGGGAGTGCTGGGGCATGTTGGAAGTGCTTTGTATTCTTGGTGTGAAAGAAACTATTTGCATATATTTGTATGTATATGCAACCACACTTAAGCTGCAGCCCTCGGCATGTGCTCTGAGTATGATTGTGGCCCCCAGGGCTTCCAAAGTTGAGTAGCCCTGGTCTACATTATAGAGTCATAGAACACCAGGGCTGGAAGGGACCTCGAGAGGTCAAGTCCTGTCCCCTGCCCTCACGACAGGACCAAGTGTAACCCTTACACCGAAGAGGGTTACACTTCGAGAGACCCCTGTGGGGGCAGCAGGAGCGACTCAGCATGTGGGGCAGATTTGATGATCAGAAGCACAGACTGAGACTTTGGTAGACTAAAGCTAAGTGGTTGGGATGTCTCCGTCTCTTTTTCTTGTGTTTGTGTGGACAGAACTGTTCCAATTTTACTTACGTTTACTGTAACCGTGGACAATATCTCCGTGGGTTATCCAACAGCTGTGTTGTGTTGTGAGAATTAGATTATTGTTTGATTCTGCATACGATATTATAAAGTTATTTCATTACATTCATTTCTTTAGTGTCTTTGGAACTTGAATGCAGGGAGGGGACCACGGGGCCATCTCCTCTGAAATGCTTTTCAGACTAACTCTGGGTCTCCAGCTACTTTCTATGGCCGTGGGTGTTTTTTAGACACTGGAGAAAGGCAGTGAAGTCTAGCCCACCCAAGGGTACACAAGGACGACAGGACCAAGGTTAGATAGACATCCCTGATTCTCTCTCTCTCTAACCTGCTCTTAAACACTTCCAATATCTCCAGTGTCTCAAAGATCTCTTAAAGATCTCCAACATCTCCAATATATAGTAGATGACAGAGATTCCAAAACCTCCCTCAGCAATTTATTCTAGTGCTTAACCACCCTGAAAGGTAGGAAGTCCAACCTAAACCTAAAATCCAAGCTAAACCTCATTTGCTGAAGTTTAAGCCCATTGTTTCTTGTTCTATTCTCAGAGGGCAAGGAGAACAATTTTCTCCCTCTTCCTTGTGACACCCTTTTAGGTACTTGGAAACTGCTCTCATGTCCTATTTCATAGAGACATAGGGCTTGAAGAGACCTCAGAAGGTCATTGAGTCCAGCCCCCTCTGTCTTCTCCTTTTATAATTAAACAAACCCAATTCCTTTAGTCTTCCCCCATGTTCCCCAAAGTTTTCTAGACCTTTAATTATTTTTGTTGCTCTTCTCCAGACCTTCTCCAATTTCTCCACATCTTTCCTGAACTGGGGCACCCAAAATTAGACCCAGTAGTCCAACTGAGGCCTAATCAGCGCAGAGTAGAGCGGAAGAATGACTTCTCGTGTCTTGCTCACCACACTCCTGTTCATGCAGCCCAGAATCATGTTTGCTTTTTTTGCAGCAGCAGCGACTGTTGACTCATATGGCCATCACTGACATATTATCTAAGTACGTTACCCATAAAATCAGTAGCCGTAAGTAAGTTGATATTGGACTTTATGGAGTCCCTGTTGTCGTTTCTCTGATTTGGGGATAGAACATGTACTTTGAGGTGTGAGAGTATTTTTTTTCTTTGATTCTCTTTCTGACTCTGTGTTTTAATTTGTATATTTTTTTAAAAATTGGTTGTTTGATTTCATCCTTTGTTGTTGATTTTGGGGGGTATTATGGAGAATGGGGTATCCTTGATCCTTTGGTGGCATCTTTTACGACACGTCTTTAACGGGGTTCTCTGTCAAGGGTGATCTTTTTATCAGCAATTAAGGGGGATGGAAAAGAAATTCTGGAAGCATGTGGATGGCTGAGTTCCTGTTGAAATGATTATTTTAATGTTTGCAAGATTTTACTCTTTTATGAGTTTCTTTTCAACCATGGATAAATGTCGTTTTACTGTTTTTATGGGAAGGAAGAACATTTTTGATAGGAGTGAAACACTTGTTGGAACAGAAAGCGCTTGCCGTGTTTGCTAAAGATGTTAGCACGACCAGGACAATGTTGTATCCCATCGGGATTTTTGGTGGAGGCTCTATGTAACCTTCTATCACAGAGCATGGGGGAGTCATCAGGCCCTGCGCCGCCAGACGTGACTGTCAGCCAGCAGGTAGAATGGAAGATATATTGGTTCTCAGGGACACAGTGTAGCACAGACTTGTAGTTACAGGAATTCAGCACAATCCTTCTTGGGGATGGGGAGACCACAGCCCCAGCTCTGGGCTGCTGCCTTGGCCCCCCAAGCCAGCTGGGCTCCCTTCTCCCCCATCCAGGAGAAAACTAACTCACACTGAGGGTACGTCTAGACTACCGCGTTTTGTCGACGGAAGTTTTGTCGACAGATACTGTCGACAAAACTTCTGTAGACAAAGAGCGTCCAGACACATTGAGTTCTGTCGACAAAGCAAGCTGCTTTGTCGACAGAACTCCGTAGTCTGGACGCAACGTTACAGGCAATAACACCTTCTGTCGACAGAGTTCTGTCGACAGAAGGCGTTATGCCTCGTAAAATGAGGTATACCAGCGTCAACAAAACTGCTGAGTTCTGTCGACGTTATGTCGACAGAACTCAGCGGTAGTGTAGACGCTGGTATAGTTTTGTCGACAAAAGTCCACTTTTGTCGACAAAACTAGGTAGTCTAGACACACCCTGACTGCTCACAGCCCTGCATGCAGCCCCGCCTCCTGCTTTTTCCTGCTTCCTGTCCCAAGGAGTTATCTGCCATCACCTGGTCCTCAGGACTGAACATACTTCCCCAGCGAGTCATGCCAGGCCTCTCCCTCCTCATGCAGCTAGTGCTGCAGTGCCCGGGGAAACTGAGGCACACACACATACCGAGTTATGACAGAACAGCCCAGGACAGTAGAATCACTCACAATACAAATCAGAATTAATACAGAGACTACAGGAGCCAACACAGCCCCCGCTACGTCCCACCTTCTCTCTGAGGTTCTGCTCTGTTTCTGGGGTGGTTAATAGACGCGAGCTGGTTTGCAGAAGGCAGTCTGGTTGCTCCCTAGACTGCAGATCACAGGACCCAAAGCAGGTCCGGTCTGCTGGGTTGATGAACCAGGAGGTGTTGCCTTGGATAGGTGTTAGAGGAGGAGCATCATGCGGCTATGTCCTACAAGAGGGGTGGGTGTGGGAACCTGATGGTGAATTTAATAAAATCAAACTAATGTGTCCATATTATGGGGAAGCCTCGAAAGGAGTCTGAGGCAAGCTCCGCTCATGCGGGCGCGCTACCTCGGACATAGCCATGGGAAGTGATGGGTTCGAATGACTCTGGGGAGGCGTTATTTCGAAATAGCGGCACCGGAACCACCACACTGTTGTTATTTCGAGATAAAAGTTTCAGAAGGAGCGTTACTCCCAAGGAAAGGCAGGAGTGCAGAGTTCCAATTCCACGGCCCGTGATTTCAAAATAATGGGCTTGGTAGTGTGGACGCTCGGCTTATAAATTCGACCTTTCGGTGGGGGGTTATTTCAAAATAAAGTCCTAAGGTAGACCGGGACCTTGTGAACATTCGTATGGTGGAAAAAGTGGCTCTTTGGGGGTTCGTTTAAACATACCCGAAACTGGAAAAAGACACTTCATTCCGGAATAAAAATATAAACTGGGAGAGTTGAGAGTTGCACTGGATCGCTTGATTGCTCTTCATTCCCTCTGGGGAAGGACTGGGTTGGATAGTAGGAAAAACTATTTCTCTAGGCGGGATGGGTTCCCTAGGGAGGGGGTGGAATCTCCATCCCTAGAGGTGCTGAAGTCCCGGCTTGACCAAGTCCTGGCTGGGATGATTGTGTTGGGTTGGTCCTGCTTTGGGCAGCGGGCTGGACTCGATGACTTCGGAGGTCTCTGCCAGCCCTGGGATTCTGCAATGCTCGTGGGGAGAAGGAAGATCGAACGGGCAGGGTGGGAGAAGAGAACAGGGGAGCGAGGATGTTATGTGGGTATGAAGATATGCCAGGGGAGGGGATGGCTGAGCAAAGAGGTTGACTTGGCTTCTGGCCACGGGAGGGGGAAACTCGAAGAACGGGGCTGACAGGGCCCGTGAATGTAAGGGCATCAGAACGGTCAGACCAAAGATCCATCTAGCCCTGTGTCCTGGCTGCCCACAATGGCAGGGAGAACAGAAGGGTGATTGGTTTATGGGGACACAGCATGGCCCGGACTTGTCAGCACAGGGACCAGACACAGCCAGTACCATCCATCTTCGGGAGATGGGGCCCAGAGCCAAGGGCCTGCTGAGTTGTTCCTTGGAAGGCTGAAGTAAAACATCCGGAAATGTGTGGGGTTCTGTTTGCAAGGATTAGGGTGCATGAATTAGATTTTCATCTAGGCCTGTGATAATTAGTCATCCAACGGCTATGAATTTTCAGAGGTTTTCAGCAACTCCCTTGGACCCCTCCCAGTTGTTTCTAATTTACTATTTCCAGAACCATGAAGGATGGCTTTGATGGACTCTTCAGGGAGTGTAAACACAAATGGGACGTGCATTCAGCTGATTGAAATGTAATACAAAACTAAAATGAACATTAACAGAAATCTGTTTTGTTTTTGTTTTTTCTGTATTCTTTCAGTTCTTCAAATGAGGTAGGCACCCATTTGGGATTCTTTGAGACTTAAATAAATGTTCTGTACACAATATTTCTATCTTAAAAATAGAAACACCAATGACCAATCATCACCTATCAGGGCAAACTCCTAGTTTTGAACCTCTCTAGTCTGGCATTCTCTGGTCTGGTAACATCCGTGGTCTGGCATGATTTTACTTAGCTGGATGTCCACTTATTATGGGCGTGGCCAAGTTTCCCACAGTCCGATGAAGTTTGCTTAGATCCACCAGTCCTGACTCTAAGGGTGTGTCTAGACTACAGGGTTTTGTCGACAAAAGTGGACTTTTGTCAACAAAACTAAACCTGCGTCTACACTACTGCTGAGTTCTGTTGACATAACATCGACAGAACTCAGCAGTTTTGTCAACGCTGGTAAACCTCATTTTACGAGGAATAACGCCTTTTGTCAACAGAGTTCTGTCGACAGAAGGCGTTATTGCATCTAAACTGTCCTTTGTGTCTACACTGCCATGTCGACAAAGCAACTTGCTTTGTCAACAGAACTGAATGTAGTCTAGATGCTCTTTGTCGACAGAAGCTTTGTCGACAGTATCTGTCAACAAAATTTCGGTCGACAAAAGCCTGTAGTCTAGACGTACCCTAAGGGTATGTCTACACAACAAGCTGTTATTTCGAAATAATTTCGAGATCGTGGACTTCTTACTCCCACTTCTGTAACCCTCATTTCATGAGGAGTAAGGGAAGTCAAAGGAAGAGTGTTCTTCTTTTTACTTCCTGCTATGTAGCCAGCGCCAACAGCTGAGTTAAGCTATTTCAACTTCAGCTATGCAGTTGAAGTAACTGAAGTTGTGTAGCTTAATTTGACTTTTGCCCTACAGTCGAGACGTGCCCTCAGTGTTCTGTGCTGTTATTTATCTCTACATTCTAGCCCAGGAAGCAGTGGAAGTGTCAATAATGCTGCTAGACAATATGGACCAAATTCTCTGGTTTGGCGCTGGTCAGGTCCCAAGGGTGCTGGTCTAGAGAGGTTCAACCTGTAGCTGAAGTGTCTTGAGTATGTCTACATTTTATCTGAAAGGAGCCCACCCAACCTGTGTAGACAGACTCACATTAGCTTCACTGGAGCTAACATGGTAATGATGGGAAGACTCAAACTTGCATTGAGAAGACTCAAACTTGCATTGAGAAGACTCAAACTTGCAACCTGAGGATTACAATGCTTGGGAGCCATAGCTGCTGCTTCTCCTGCAATGTCCACCACACTGCTTTAGCATGCACGCTTATGTACAGCCACCCTAAGGCTGTCCGGGTGGGTTGGAAGGCTCACTTCAAGCTGTAAAGCAAAGGCTCCTAGAAAAAACTCCCCACGGTTCACCAGTCCTTTAAAATTATCCTAATTCCTAACCATTGATAGATTGGTCCCAAGCACCCACCGCTCTCCCCTACAACCATGCACCACCCAAGTTTAGCAAAAGTTGGAGTCTAAGTCCACGTCTTCATTAAACGGGAGACTGACGATGGATCATGCGGAGTTTGGTTTAGCACGTCTAGTTCAGACTCACTGGAGTTGCGTATCTTGAGTGAGCATTCCCTTTTATTGTAGACCTAAGTCTACATCTAAGAAGTTAGGTTCAACATTGGAATGTCAATAAATAGCTAACACCATTAGGTGATTGTGAAAATCTCTTCCTAGGCCCTCCATAGGGCAGACATTCCTTCTGCCCACACCTGAGTGGAGTACAATCAACTCCTCTCAAGTCAATGGCATTACTCACACCAAAAAGGGCTTTCTGTCGCTCAGGTCAAGTCAATTGAAAAATGGATGTTAAACTCTTTGGAAAGACATCCTTGCTATCACCCTCCCCAGAGCCTCCCTTATCTCCTTGTTTCTCAAGCTATAAACGATTGGATTCGATAACGGTGGCAGCACGGCGTAGAGCACAGATGCCAGCAGGTCCCAAGAGGAAGATGTCACGGAGGTTTGCCTCATATACACAAAGCTGCCCGTGCCAAAGAACAACCCGATGACCACGAGGTGGGGTAGGCAGGTGGAGAAGGCTTTATGCTTTCCCGACATGGATGGGATCCTCAGCACGGTGGAAAAGATCTGAATGTAGGACGTGATGATGAACACAAAACAGCCCAGAGCGAGGCACACCCCGAAGAGGACCACCACCACTTTGTTGGGGTACGTGTCAGAGCAAGCCAGCTTGAGCAGCTGAGGGATGTCACAGAAGAACTGGCTGATAACGTTGGCGTGACAGAAGGGCAACCGGAAGGTGTTGCCCGTGTGAAGCAGCGAATAGAGGACTCCACTGACCCAGGAACCAGCTGCCATCCGGGCACAGGTGCCACGACTCATGATCATCTTGTAATGTAAAGGAAAACAGATGGCAGTACGACGGTCATATGCCATCACGGAGAGAAGGGCACACTCGGTGGCCGCGAGTGAAATAACCAGGAAGACTTGGGTGGCACAGCCAATGAAGGAAATGGACCTGGTGTTGGTTAGGGAGTTGGCTAGCATCTTGGGGATGGTAATGGAGATGTAGCAGAGATCTAAGGAGGAGAGGTTGAACAGGAAGAAGTACATGGGGGTATGGAGGCGGAAATCGAGGACTACTGCTGCAACAATCAGAAGATTCCCTATGACCGTGGCTAGATAAATAAGCAGGAAGACCATGGAGTAGAACATCTGCCGCTCTTGGAGGTCAGCGAATCCCAGAAGAATGAACTCACTCACGGTAGTTTTGTTGGCCATCTCCTTCCATGTACTTTGTGCTGCCTGCAAAGGAATAAAAGAAAGAAATGAAAGATTCTAAAAATTAAGGCACACAATGGCCAGTTTCAGTTAAAATCGAGTTACAGTTTTGCATTGTTTTTTCATGAAAATGTTGGTGGAGGTTTTACTACTCATGATGGAAAGATTAGAAGTTACCTAGAAGACATTGGTGCTGGAAAGCAGTGACCATGAAAAGGATCTAGGGGTTAACATCAGTTCCTAAGGTGATATTTCACACACTTATGAGGAAAGTCTACCTGATTGACATTTGCTGGAGGTCTTCTGTGGAGAGTGCTAACATAACAAAGGAGAGGACAATTTCCTAATTCAAAAAAGTGTTGCATCCCACACATGTTAACTCTAGATTAGACCTCAGATAGGGTGCATCTACACAGCAACCAAAACTCGAAATAAAATATGCAATTTGCGCTACTCAAATTGCGTATCGTATTTTGATTCTATTTTTGAAATAGGTTATTTCAAAATTTGGCGTGTCTACACAGCACCCAATTTTGAAATAATGCACTATTTTGAGACATCCGTTAACCCTTGGGTTACAAGGATACCAAAATAGTGTGTCCGTTATTTCGAAAAATATTTGAAATAACGAGCAGCTTGTTACGACATGGGGTAGTTATTTCAGGATACTTCCAGTACCCCGAAATAGCCACGCCGTGTAGACATAACCATAAAGAGAAATGTATCACAAAACCTAGTGTCATCTTAGACACAAAAATAATGACTTCACCTTATTATGTATAATATGCAAGCACAATGAACTCCAGACCATTTATATGCATATTTGGTCTTAACAGGGCTAGTTTCACAAAACTGAAAAAAAATTCTGAGCCAAATCAGCTGGCAGAAAGACTTTAACTACAAAAGTGTGGATGCCAAATAGGAGTCATTTTACCAGCACCTTATCAGATGTCCCCAATACTACAGTCTCACAGTCAAGGAGGAAAGATATTCAGGATAACATAAATCTGTTTTATAGAGGAAATTAAGGCAGCTATCCAGATAGATATATAGATAAGAGGAACGTATGGAGATAGGAAAGTTGGCAGTAGTGACTATCAATGAGAAATTACGATTTGTAGAAAATGGATAAGAGAAGCCAAAGGACACAAGGAAAAGTTTATAGCCTGCACAGTTTTGGACAATAAGATGGGAGGTTGTTTTTAAAAATATATTAGAAACAAATAATTTGATAATGGCTTTGGTCCATTACTAAATGAAAATGGTAGAATTCTCCATCTTAATTCTGAAATGACAGAAGTGTTCAATGATTATTTCTGTTCACGATCTGGAGACAATATAACATGGTCTTATAGTCTGGTGTTGACACTCTATTCCACTAACATCCATGGAAAAATAGATGTGTATTAATGACAGACATATTAAAATAAGCAGCACCAAATATCTTGCAGCCAAGCGTTTTAAAGGAGCTGGCTAAGGAGACTGCCTGACCGTTAATGTTGATTTTACTGAATCTTGGAGCACTGGGAAAATACCATCAGATTAGAAGAAATCTAGTGTATCAATTTTAAAAAATAGTAACTGCTAATTATGAACTTCTTTCCAGGAGATGGTAAGGTACCAATTGATAAAGAACTTGAGGAGGATAATGTAATATAAATAAATCAAAATGGATTAATGGAAATTAGATCCTGTAAAACTAATGATGTTTTTCAATGATCTAGCAAGTGATTCTGTCTCTTTTCTGTTTGATTTTATGGGAAGCAATTCCATTATGGGCACATCCCATTTTTCTGACACGAAGACACCCTGACCTCACTTTAAAGTTGGATAAGAGGAAGCTGCCTACTGAATTTGGTTGTCCCGGCTCTTACCATTTAGGAAGAGATCTTGAACAAGACAGACACATGGACAGACACATGGAAAAAAACTCTCTCAAATGTATAGCAGAGTTGTTGAAAATTCCTTTCTTTTGGGGAAAGTGTATCATCAAAGAACTGAACCTCCATCAGAGTCTATAAAAAAGATTTTTCAATAAGTATTCCCTATGCTTCAGAAGAGATTTTTTTTCCAACTGAAATCTTCCATTTGGATCTAAACTCACTCAATATCAAAGGGATCACATTAGGGTCAATATTCTGGTCTGCCTTTGAGCCTGCTTTTGAGCTCCCCTGTCAGTTTTGAAAATGGGTCATAAGCAATCAAGCCATCTGGGTGCTTTTGAAAATGTGATCCCTGCCCAGAATTGGTCTCCCTGCATAACAATTTCTCACATTTATTCTCAGTTTTAAGCTTAAGAACATAAGAATGACCATTCTGAGTCAGACCTAAGGTCCATCTAGCCCAGTACTTGTCCTCTGGTGGCCAATACCAGGTCCCCCA